ACACTGAAGCAATGGATCTGGACCAGGAAGATCAATCTTAAAGAAATCTGAAACTTCACTCCCTCAACCAAAATCTTTTTTTTTTAAGTCCCTGTTATGTACTAGCACTGTACTAGGCACTGGATGGGATACAAATATAGAGGACATCCTTCTTTCAAAGGCTTTACAATGAAGGAGAGATGATTAAAAATGTACACAGCTTAGAATTTGCAGCGTGGTGTAGTAGTTAGAATTCCAGACTTGGAGACAGAAAAACCTCAGTCAACAAGCATTTATTAGGTACCAAGCAGTATGCTAAGCACCGAGGATTCAAAGAAAGGCATTCTAATGGGGGAGATGGCTGACAAATGACTACCTACAAAATACACTCTAAATGGAAGGTAATCTTGGAAGGAAGGAATTAGCATCTGGGAGAATGCTGGGAGAGTGCAGAAGGTAGGATATGAACTGAGTCTAGAAGGAATCCAGGGAACTAAGTCTGAAGAAAAAAGGGAGAGGATTGTAGCTATGGGGGACAGTCAGGGTCAATGCACAGAAGTGGGATAGATATATGTACTTTATATATATATATATATATATATATATATATATATATATATATATATATATATATATATATATACATATATATATATATATATATTATATATATTAATGTGTGAGGAACAGCAAGAACCTCAGTGTAGCTAAATCATGGGGTACATGAAAGAGAGTAAAATCTAAGAAAATTGGAAAGATAGAAAAGGGCCAGGTTGTAAAGGGATTTAAATGCCAAAGAGAGGATTTTGTATTTGAGCCAAGAGGTAATAAGGAGCCATTGGAGTTTATTGAGGAAGGGGATGGGATAAAAAGTTCAGAGCTGTGTTTTAGGAAAATCCCTTCAGCAGCTAAATGGAGGATAAATTGGAGTGGGGAAAGACGTAGGGCAGGGAAACTAATTAGAAAGTTATTTCAATAGTTCAGGCAAGAAGATGAAGGTCTGTACAAGTATGGTGACTATGTGAGTAGAGAGCAGCAGATGTATACAAGATATGTTGTAAAGGTAGTAGTGACAAGATTTGGCAATGGCATAGGTATGTGGAATGAGTGAGAGCAGTCAAGGATAACACTGAAGTTTTGAACCTGTAAGATTGGGAGGAGACCTAGATTCAAGTCACACCTCAGATGCTTGGCTGGCTCTGTGATCACTGACACATCATTTAACCACTCTGTGCCTCTATCTCACTTGAAAATTGGGGGTAAAAGAAATCAAAGAAAGAAGGAAAGGATCCATATGCCCCAAAATATTTTTATTAGCAATTTTCATTGAAAGAAAAAACTGAAAACACTAATGCCCAAATTGGGAAATAGCTGTGTGAATATAATAGAATATTGTTGTATTATGAGAAATGATAAAAAAGAATGGATTCAGAGAAACCTGGGAGGACTTATATGAACTGATGCAGAGTCAAGTGAGCAGAATTTATACAATAATTAATATTTACTTTATCAATTATACGATGATTAAAACATTACAAAGTAAAACAATTGTGAAAGACTTAGGCACTATGATCAATGCAATGACCAATCACAGCTGGTGGCACAGTGGATAGAGTGCTGGGCCTCCACAGTCGGGAAGATCTGAGTTCACATGTGGCCTCAGACACTACCTGTGTGACCCTAGGCAAATCACTGAACCTCTATTTGCCTTGGTTTCCTCAACTGTAAAATGGGGCTAATAATAGTACCTATCTCATTTGTTGTAAGGATAAAATTAGATGTTTGTAAAAAGCAGTTGAACATGGTAGGCACCATATAAACGCTTATTCCCTTCCCTTTCCCCCAGTTACAACTCCATATAACTTATGATGAATTATACCTGTTGACGGAAAAATGATGGACTAGACATTGTCAAACATGGCCAATATGTAGATTTATCTTATTTGAACATACTTATTTGTTACTAGAAGCAGGATGGGATAGTAGGTAAAGAGCTGGCTTGGAAGGCAGAATCCATCCTCTGAATCATACTGGCTCTGCTCCATGGGCAAGTCACCTAATCTCTCCAAGACTGTAAGTAATAGAGCTGGTGCCAGCCTGAATTGGTAGAGGGAGTTTCCTCACCAGGGAATTTCCTCTACTAGTTAAATCACAAGCCTAATCCTTATCCCTTAAACTTATTTGTTTCAAGGGAGGACTTTGGTGAGAAGGTGGGAATGTGGGGTGGAAGGGCAGACACAGCAATACTGATGCCAAAGGGGGAAAAAAAGAGAAAAGACTATTATTAATGAAACAATAAGACAATACACAAAAGATAGCAGATTAAAATTCAGAAGAAGAAATAAGCAGGACAGTGTTGTACTACTGTGTTGAATATAATTTGAATAACTAAATGGAATAAGCTAACATATACTTTTTTAAAAGCTGGTATAATAGAGATTTGTGATGTCATATAAAATCTTCTCTGTTCTTTGTATAAGGAAATGTTCGCTTTTGTTCATGTTTATCAAGTTCATAATAATTAAAACTTTTAAGAATAATTTCTTTTTGAAAGAAAATGACAATACCTGTGGTACTTACCTCACCAGGCTATTATGAAGGTCAAACATGATAACGTATGTAAAGTATAGCCTTAAAGCACCACAGGCCTGTCAGCTTATTATAAAGAGAAGTGCAAAGTGCTAGGAGAACAGACGAGGAAAGGAGAATCAGGGAGGCCTTTATAGTAGAAGCTTTTAAATATTAACTGAAAGAGGATAGAATGTTGAAAGGCAGAGGTCGGAAAGAAGAGCATTGAAGGTATGGAGATTAAGGGAGGTGAGCAGTTTGGTTAGAAAACAGAATATGGGAATGGGAATAGTGTGAGATAAGGTTACAGGTAGATTGGAACCACAATGTAGAAACCCTTAAATATCATGCTAAGGAGCCAAACTTTATACATTGAAGAGTCCTTGAATATTTTTGAACAATAGAATAATCAGACCTTTGTAATAAAATGACTAATGTCATAGTGGTTTGTAGACTTAGAGGAAAGAGAGCCTGTAAGCTTGGAAACCTGCAGTATCTTATTGTCTTAATCCAAGTAAGGTTCCAAGGACTTGAATTAGATTGGTATCAATGGGAATAGTGTGGTATTTATTGAAGTGAGATACTTGGAGAGAGAAGCAATAAGAATCAACATTTGTGTGGAACCAGGGAGAAGGAAGAATGATGTAGAAATTACATTGGACTTGGAATCAGGAGACCAAGGCTTAAGTCCCAGCTCTAGCTATGTGACCATGGACAAATCTTTTAACCTCTCTGAGCTTCAATTTGCAAAATGGGAATACTAACAATTGTACTACCTGCCTTGGTAGCTGTGAAAAAAGTACTTTGCAAACCTTAACACTATACAAATGTGTGACAATTTTAGAGGTCTACAAGTTTATGAGTGTGAGTGAATAGCAGAAACGATGTAAACTTCCACTTCAGCTGTGTTGAACCCAAAGTGGCAGAAAGGCATCCAGGGAGAGATATCTAATGAGCAGCTGGATATACGAATCTGAAGTTTAAGAGAGAGATCAGGAATAGATAGGGAAAAAACAAACTTTTAGACAAACTGGAGACCTCTGCCCCAGTACCAAAGCAGACAAATCCCTAACCACCTCCGGACAGCAGCTCGGGCTCCCTTACTGCAGGGAAAGTGTGCAATCTGTGACAAATCTTGAGATCAAGTAAGCATGGAAGGCCTTCAGTCCCTCCACTCGTTCCATATCCCATTGGTGTTGTTAGAGTAGAGTCCCAGATTATCTTGTTGGATGCCAGACAGAACTCAGTAAAAACTCCTTGAAACACAAGTCACCACTCCAAAGATTTTCATCTACCATTCCATTCATCTATTCAACTCTACTTAGATTTGATCTCCCCCAAAAGACTCCTTTGTGAGCCCACATACAGAGTTCAAGAGCAGTCCCTCTGAGAGACTAGTGTTGAGGACTATAGGAGAGAATAGACTTGTGAAGTACCTATAGTAGTAGTTACCAATACAGTAGGTTCTCTCCATTTTTTTCCATCTATCAATATGTATAGTCACCAGAGCCCTCTCATTGCTCAGCTGTTCCCTGTGTCCTTGGCCAGACAAACCGGTCCTACATTACAGGGTGTGGGCTTCCTCTTATTTCTCCTTTATTTTTGTTAAACCCATCATCAATATTCCTAGTGTCAAAACTAAACAACATAAGCAGCAGCTGTTCAGAAGCCTCCCAGTCCCAAAGCAGAGGTTCAGTTTGACAGTAGCAAATCTTGTTTAAAATACTCTCCATCTTCACTAAAACTTCCCCCTGTGGTCTCAGCTGGATACAGTATTCTTTTCCACTTCCTGTTCTGATCTTCTGGGCAGCACTGCCCAGAGAGGTCACAGGAGTAAGAAAAAAACCCATGCCAAGATACCTTGGACACTCTGTCCGTATCTTGGGCAGGAATCCAACAGGGAATGAAATCAGACACCAGAATTTCCACTAACTTCTAGGACTTCAGGAAATCAGCTCCCTCTCTGATCCAGCCCTGCAATTAAACATTAGCCAGGGGGGCACATCACATTCCAGACAGAGCCCTTTCTAAAGGTTACCGTGTCTGTATATTGCTTATTTACCAGGGTGGCCTCGCAGAGCCCCTGCCACAGGCCACAGCTATTTGGAACATATTAAAGAGGTGATAGAAAAGTAAAAGAACTTGGGCTCAGTTGAACCTTATCAGTGCCCATCCAATCTCATGGACTCCAACGTAATATGCCAGGAAATTATAGATCATAGAGTTTTAGACTTCAAAGAGGACAACCCTGACAAATCTTTCTCCCACCCCTCAAAACGAATCTAACAATGAAGCTATAGAAGTTAGATAGTATACACATATGGGAGCAGGGCATTCCCTTCTCTACCTGTCAGCAGCTGGTCTGCAAGGCCTAAAGGAGACCACTGAATCTCCAGCGAGGACTTTTTAAATACAATTTAAATTTAAATGTTAAATACTATTTCTTTTTGTAGGGCTTGATTCCAACTACCACCCCATGACTTGAGCCGAAGCAGTAATCCAAGGTAATTCCGGTGTCCTTTTTATAGCAGGTAATGTATTTAGGCAGACCAAATACTATTACCTTTCAAAGCTATTGCATTTAAGGTAGTACATTGGTTCATGATGGGTGAAATGGTTTATGTGAACTTTGAGTGTCCTTTGGCAGCAAGAATAAGCTGAAAGGGGCTGTTAGATATTAAATGTACCTGGGTTGCCTATATGAGTCAGTATTTTTCTGTCCTGACTCATGAATTTTTCTGGCAAGAACAAGTGAATGAATATTATATTTTTAAAACCAACTATTCTGTCTCCTTCCATTACATACATACATACATATCTTAACACATGAAATAATCAATGTTCTAAGTAGAACTGAAATAGAAGAGCCATGATTGAGTGTCTGTGTACCATCGTAAGGGGGAAGCCAGGAATTAATAGTTAAATATCTCCATTTCTAGTGCACCCACCAATGAGCCAAAGACAGCGATTCTACAGGAATTGTTTATAACACGGCTACAACATAGCAGTATGCCATTCAGAGATAGATTCTAGAGAAAAAATAACCCAAGGATTCCAACCCTGAAGCTAAATTTCCTTACCAAGAACCACACAAACACAAGAACAAACAGGAAGTCAGTTTTCCAGGAGGGGACCCAGCCCTAATAGCTGGAGTGAGAGCAGGGCCCCCTCTGCTGGGAGCTAGGGAAATGAAACATTAGGATGCCCCAACCATGATGCTTCTGAATAAAGAAGCCTGGTTGTAATAGATGAAAACGAAGATAGGACCCCTTCAGAATGCCTATCAGAACTTTTTACCATCGGATGAGAATCACAGAAGGAACTCACTGGAAGCATTAAGAGAGCCACAGTCAGCTTCTAAGAAGTATCAAAATATTCCAGAAGATACCTGTTAAAAGATTCTAATACTCCAACCAAAGATCTGTGACCTCATCCATATGAGTGTTCCCTGTCATGATGCAGATCACAATCCATCCAAAACTGTCTATGATGATTAGCTATATTATCTGTATGATTCTATAGCTGAGTATGAACTGATAACTCATTATCAAATTATTTCTCATAAAATACATTTTTTTTAAAAAGTTTCAGAGAAAGCTCACATGTATCTTAGATTCACATGTAGTTTCAGAACTTTATGCTTGTTCAGCTATCCAGAAAATTTGTTCAACACTTTACTTTTAGAAGGAATTTTTACAAGTATACTAAGAAGACTGCTTATGTGACCAGCCAGAAGTCAGAAATCTGGCATTAAAGAGGTATTTAACAAAAGATGAGATGTTTAAAGTGGTTCTACTACCAATAATGAACTATTTAGGCCAGTGACATTAGGGAAAGAACATGTGGCTGAATGCAGTTGCCTTCTGGAAAAGGGAAAGAGTACTGGAATATATTGAGAATGGTGCACTTGAGAAAGTAGCTATGTCAAGCAGATACATAAATTTAACTGTAATGGGAAAAAAATCCAATCTAGTATATTTTAGTAACTAGGATCTAGAAGTTGCACATCCCTGGCATTAAACAGTCAGGGAACTTAATGTGAACAAACTTTTATTGAACTGCAAACTGGTGAGCAAACAGTTTCAGAAGTAACATGGTATAATGGAAAGAGACAAAAAACCTGGATTCAATTCCCTGCACTGCTGTTAACCATCTTCGTGACTCTGGACAAGTAATTTCATCTCCCTCTGACTGTTTCCTCATCTACAAAATGAAGAGGTAGGATAGGCCCCATGTGTGGCAAGGGTCTTCCCCCCAACTATAGCATAGGGGTGGCATTGTGTGATTTGAAGGGAGGCAGAATAGATTAAAAGAACCAAAGATTTCAGGAAGAAGAAATCTGAAAGACCCTGAACATAAACAGACAAATTAACAGGTAAAACAGTAACAGAAGGAAATGTGACCTCCAGATCAGGGAAGTCAGTTCTGGTATCCATGAATAAATACTGTAAAATGAAGGGAAATGATCCAACACTTGATAAGACAGAGGACCCTGTGGGATTTGAGGAGAACATGGAACCACAACCTGCTGTTCCTGAGTGGTTGAAAAGAGAAATGAAAATTATGAGAGCAGAATTTATGGCCTGCATGGTAAAAATAATAAGCAAAATAGAAAAACTTGAATCTGCAATGGCAAGCCTCACCAAAGAAACAAAAGAAAGAATAATAGATTGGGAATGCAAATACACAGAAGGGAAGGACAACCTAGAAGAAAAGAAGCAAAAAACAAAAACATTAAAAGAAAATATGCTTGCTATGCACACAAAACATGTGGATCTTGAAGACAAGATACATAGACAACCTAAGGATCATAGGTCTCTCAAAAGAACACAACAGGGCAAAAAACCTTGACACCATAATGAAAAAAAAAATTTTAAAAACTATACAGAACTTCTGAACATAGAAAATAAAATCCCAATTGAAAGACTTCACAGATTGCCTCCAGAAAAAAAAAAAGGTTGCAAACTCCAAGACACACAGTGGTTAAATTTAACAATTCAGTTCAGAAACAACAAGCTCTGCGAGCTATCAGGAGAAGGACTTTCAAATACAAAGGAAAGGATATTCCAAGAAATGTGAGACTATTCTGCGCTCACTAGAAAAAGGAGGAGGGAATAGAATGTGTTGGAAGAGCATTGGAGCTCAGAATGAAGCCCAGGGTGGCCAACCCTAGCTTAACCATACAGGGCCAAAGATGAACCTCAATAACAAAGAAGCGTTTGAAAAGAAAATCAGAACTAAAAAAATTATTTGTTTCTCAAACACTTCAAACAACAGAATTACAGGAAATATGAATAAATGCAGATTTGTAACAGCAACAGAATGACAACAGGAAGACCAGTAAGAGACTTCTTTCCAAAAGTACACAAAGCAAGAGGAGTGAAGGCAGAAATCTAGCATAGGTATCAGTGAAGAGGTAGACAGGGGTATTATAGACAAAACCTGGTGACACCTGCCTACAGGTGAATACTTTTTTTGTGGGACTACATTAGAACATGGAAGGATATATGAAAGAAAGGGAGTGGAACGGGAATAGAAGTGATCTATGTGCCAGGGTCAAATCAAGGGTCAGCAATGAGGGGAAAGTGACCTCTGTGGTCTCATCCTATAGGGGAGTGGGTGAGGAGGAAGAGAAAAAAGATTGAAAAGGGGGAGAAAGGGAGAAGGCCTTACTTTGGAGGTGGGAAGGGATTCCACTGATGAATGCTCCTATGGGTGAGAGGAGGTAAGTACCTTACACTGGATGAGGTCTGTGGGAATTTGGCGCCTGAAAAATCTGCTAGTCCTGGGAGGTGGGGAGGTGGAACCCCTGGGAGCAACTGGAAGACATGAGGAAGCATGGACACAAAGAGGAGATTTCCAGGCAAATGTTAAGGGGGGGAGCCAATAAGAGAGGGTACAGATCAGTAAGGGGCAGTGGGAGAAAGTCCCTACCATGGAGCAGTCTCTCCCCTTTGACACCTTCAATAATTGGTATTGTTCTGAGAGTGAGGGAGAATGGAAAAGGGGAATTCATGGAGTAAGCCCTACAAGACAGTGGCAGAAAGTACCTAGAGTGCAGAGTCTAGAATGAATATCCTGAAAGTTTTATAAAGAATACAGAGAAAAGAGTGAGACTAGATGATTATAGGGGTTATGAATCAGAGAATGAGGATCTGTAGTAAACAGAAAGAGAAGGTGAATAACAAAAAGAGTGGAAGAAATCCTTTTTGGAAAGGGGCACAAAAATGAAAAAAAAATTAAAAACCTAATAAACAGGACTAACTAAAGGGGAGGAGAGGATGAGGGAACTTACCTGACTGAGAAGAAAAAAGAGAGAGAAGAAATATATAAATACGGATAAAAGCAGGAGAGAAGAACTAAAACAAAACCCTAAAGGGAAAGAGATAACAAATAAGGAGAAGAGGAGGATGGAGAAAAGAGATGGTGGGAACAAGGACACTTTAAAAAAAGATTAAAGTAAAGTAACTGTAGGAACATAATACTATATTTACAGCAGAAGAGAAAAGAAAATCATAATTTGAGAGAAAAAAGTTTTAGAGACAGAGGAAAATATAAACCTAATTCTTATGACTTTAAATGTGAGTGAATTAAACAATCCAATAAAATTAAAAAGTGACAGATTGGGTAAGAAAACAAAACCCTACAATCTTGCCTACAAGAAACACATTTAAAATACAAATACATAACACAAAATAAAACTTAGGGGATGGAAAAATTTTATTATGACTCAAGTGAATCAAAAAAAATTAGGAGTTATCATCAAGCTATCAGGCAAAGCAAAAACATTCAAAAAGAGACAAACAAGGAAATGATATTATCCTGAAATGAACCATAAACAACAAACCAGTATAAGTATGCTCTAAATGTCTTAGCATCCAAATTCATCAAGGAAACATCTGAGCTTCAAGAAGACATAGAATAGACACTAACACAATAGTGATAGGAGATTTCTATATACCTTTATCAGTTCAGGATAAGCCTAACAAAAAGATAAACAAAAGGGAAAATATAGAACTGAACAAATTTCTGGAGAAACTAGAATTAAAAGACCTATGGCATCTTCTAAATGGGACAGCAAAAGAAGAGACATTTCTTTGCACCACATGGAAGTCTTACAAAAATTGACCACGTATTAGGGCACAAGAATAAGAAGGAAAGTGCTTTAATGGGGAAGTAAATCTTCATATTAGCCATCAGTAAGAAAAAAGTACTGTGCTGTAAGAAATTATATGTGTGATGAATGCAGAGAAGCATGGAAAGATCTGTATGAACTAATGCAGAGTGAAGTAAGCAGAGCCAAGAAAACTTACCCAGTGACTACAACAATGTAAATGGAAAGAACAATAATATACCAAAAAATCAAAAGTAAACAAAATTATAATGACCAAATGGGATTCACATAAGGAGAAGACACCCCCAACCTACCCCTCTGTGGAAGTGGGAGGTCCACAGTTGTTACGCATTGCACATATTTTTGGACTTTTTCAATGTATCTATCAGTTGTGCTGACTTTTTTCCCTCTAAAAAATTACTTTCTGTCACATGGAAAGGCTTTCAGACAGGAGAAGGTACACATGGGATACTGTGATGAAAATACTAATAAAAAATTTTTTAAAAAACACACAGTGGAACATGTGGGCTGTTATTTATTTATTACTTATTCCTCACTCTTTCCACATGACCAGCCTATCTTCTTTTTAAGCATTCATTTATTTGATGATGTCTTTTATACCCCTTTTCTGACTCATGCCTAACATGTGCCTCTTTATTGCCCTTGGGATGATCCTCAACTTCAGATCTTTGGAAGCTAGTGGTCCATGTTGCAGTCATACAATGTCATCTGAAGAATAATGGTATTTTTAAAATGGGCCTTTGTTACAGGGAGAAACTTGGAGTTATTACATTAACTTTGTACTTTTGCAAAGGCAGTCCAGCCACTCTCTTCCTTTCCAGTTCTGGAACTTATTCTGCACTGTCTTTTTGCAGTGCCTATCCAAGGTATATATACTGATGATAAGATAGGCTGCCTATCCAAATGCCTAAAATAATCTGGACAATATGCATTCTTTATCCACTGGGTTTTCCCTATGTGAGTAATTGGGACAACTTCTTTAGAATGATTATAGATCTCTTCTAGGATTCTCTGCAGTGTCCTGGGGCTTTATATGATTAGCATAAGGTTATTTACGAACAGTAGCATCAAAGGGAATCTAGAGGGAATCCCTTTACCTTTTAGACTATTCTAGGGCTCCTTCATGACAGTGGTAAACATCTTTGGTGAACATACATCCTCCTGGGTTATGTCTCATTTGATCAATCAGTAAGCATTTGCAAAGTACTGAGCTAGGCACTGGAGATTAAAGTACGAGAATGAAAAAGTCCCTGCTGTCAAGGCATACTATTAATGATCATCAAATAAATTTCTCTCTGTTTTTCTGTTTTTTCAAGGAGTCTTCCCCCTTAATACTAGTCCTTTCCCTCTCTTAATTATCTCCAATTTATCATGTATACATTTATGGTTTCTACATAGTTGTTTTCATGCTGTCTCCCTCATTAGACTGTGAGCTCCTTGAGAGTAGGTACTGTTTTTTGTCTTTCTTTGTATCACTGCTGCTTAGCACAGTATTTGGCACACAGAAGGTACTTAATAAATGCTCATTGACTAACTGATTGACTCTGGTTGAGGTATCTTTACACTGGGCCCTCGTCTCTCCTGAGCTCCAGACCTGCATCAACATCTTTTGGATATTTTGAATTGGATGTTTCATAGGCATCTTAAACTCAGCACATCCAAAAGCAAGCTTCTCTTTCCCTGAAACATTCATCTATCCAAGTCTGTTGAGATGGTGATGTAAGAAACAGAAAATACTAATAAAAATTTTTTTAAAAGATCCAGCGGGACATGTGGGCTGTCCATTGTTTATTCCTCACTGTTACCACATGACCAGCCCATCTTCATTTTAAGCATTCATTTCTTTGATGATGTTCTTTATGCCTCTTCTTTCCACTCACCCAGGTTTGCAGCCTTGGGGTCATTCTCTCCTCTTCATTGTCCCTTGTCCTCCATATCCAGTCAGTTCTCAAGTTGTGTAAATTCTACTTCCGTGATATTACTCCTATCGGCACCTTCTCTCTACACACACAGCCCCCTTGTTCAGGCCTTCCATCACCTCACATTGACTCTCGCAGCAGCCTGCTAACTGAGCCTCTTCCCTTAAGTCTCTTACCTCTTCAATCTATCGTCTTCACGGCTGCCAAAGGGATCTTCCAAAAGCACGGACTTGACCGTGTCCCTCCCCTGTTCAGGAAGCTTCAGTGGCTGACTTGGCAAGTAAGTGGTGCCATCAAGCACAGAGTACTGGGCCTGGAGTCAGGAAGACCTAGCTCAGATTTGACCTCTGACATTACTAGCTGTGTCACCTTGGGCAAGTCACTTAACCTCTGTGTGCTTCAGTTTCCTTAATTGTGAAATGGTGGCAATAGCATCTGACTCCTAAGGCTGTTGTGAGGATTGAATGAGATAATATTCTTAAAACACTTAGCACAGTGCCTGGCATGTAGTAGGTAGTTAATAAGTACTTGTTCCCTTCCCCCCCCCCATGGCACCCTATTACCTCAAAGATAAAACACAAGCTTTTCTTGCTTTTTTGACATTTAAAGCCCTTCACACTTAGAGTCAAACCAAATTTTACAGACTTACTACTCCTCTGGATATACCCTGCATTCTGGTTTTAAACTGGCTTTCTGGCTGTCTCTACTATATAGCTTTTGGTTCCTCATTGTTGAGCCCTTGAAAGTACAGGCAGTCGGTCCCTTATGCTTGGATACACTCCGTTCTCATCTCCGCCTCTTAAAAATAGTTCCCTTTAAAGCTCAGTTAACTTGCCATCTTCTATATATGGATTCTCTTGATCCCGCTTCTGTGAGTGCCTCCCCCCATTATTTTGTATTTGGTTTTTATATATTTTGTATTTACTCAAAAGGTAGCCATCATTCCTTGAACCATCACTGCTCCATAGAACTTAAGTTCCTTGAGGGTTGGGACTGTTATTTTTGCCGTTGTATTGATAGCACCTGATGTAGTACCTGAAACGTAGTAGGTTATTAAAAATGTTTTTTGATTGACTGATTTATTATCTTCCTTCCAGTTTCATACTGAAGTGTTTTCAAGATGATTTGCTTGCATAAAGCAGTCCTTAAACTTTTCCTTTACTGATTGTTGGTGTTTGGGATATAGAAATAACCTTGTTGTCAAGCAGAACTGGATTCAAGTCCTGCTTCTGATACATAGTGTATGGCCCTGGTCAAATCACTTAACATCTCAGTGCCCCAGGCAACTCTCTAAGACTGTAAGTTGGATTGGTAAAAGATATGATCCTTATACTGGTAAAATATCACGTTAAAAAAAAGTACAGCTCATAATTTTCTACCATCCTTCTCCATAAGATTTTAAAAATATGTTTATATTCTAAAACACTGTTGCCCTTGGCTGTCACATTTTTCAGTTTGGCAGATAGGTCAAGTGTTTGTAGGTGAAGCTCTTTGGTCTCCTCATTATGCAAATTGATTTACATAAATTAAACTTTAGTATTAAAATGTTATAATCAGTGATACCTTTTCCTCCATTTCTCATTTTGGAAGAGTTGGTAACTCATTTAAATAGGTCAGGTTGGGGTTGTTTTAATCAAATGCTATATTTTTCATTTTTATTTTTTCTTGCTTTGTATTAGGCTACTAGGTGCTGGGCCTGGAGTTAGGAAGACCTGAATTCATATCTAGCCTCAAACACTTACTAGCTGTCTGACCCTGGGCAAGTCACTTACCCTCTATTTGCCTCAGTTTCCTCACCTGTAAAATGAGGATAATAATAGCACCTACCTCCCAGAGTTGTTGAAGATCAAATGAGATAATATTTGTAAAAAGTGCTTAGCATAGCACCTGGCACATGGTAGGTATTATGTAAATGCTCATTCCCCTCTTCCTACCCTCCCTCATTTTCATATTAATTTTGAGGGGTTTTTTTTCCTAATGAGTCAGTGGTCTGATTTTTTAACTTAATTTTTTTTAATTAACAAAAATTCACCTCTTTCCCTCCCCCAAAATTTGTGTAAATCTACACCCTGAGTCCATTTCTGTCTGTCAGGAGATGAGTAGTCTATTTCATCATGAATCTCCTGGAATTGAAGTTAGTTGTTGCTCTGATCAGAATTCCTAAGTTTTTCAAAGTTGTTTGTCTTTACAATACTACTTTTATTATATATTTTGTTTTCCTGCTTCTGCCCACTTTGCATAAATTTGTACAAATCTTCCCAGGCCTTTCTGAAACCATTCTCTTCATCATTCCTCATCTTTACATTCTTTTTTTTTTGCTTTTTATTAATTTTGACTATTTTTTTGCTCTAAGATATAGGTGGTCTGATTTTACAGAACTGGTCCAGGAGTGACTTCCACATCTGTAATCAAGCATTTCCTGTCTGTCAAAATAAAGTTAGTTTCATTTTGAGGGATGCTCTCCATGACCAGAGCTGCCAGATTTTTTTTTCCTCAAAGAACTGTGTTCAGGGTGTAAAAGTGTGAGGTTTCTCTGATGACTTAAACCTCTCTAACTTTACTCCCTAATCATATTTTCATTTTTCACCATACTCACCGATGCCTACCTTTATATTGAAAGACACTGAATAATAACACATATGTTGATTTAATATGAAAAGTCTTATCGAATTCTTCACAGAAATTCTTTTATCCTCTACAACAGATGTTGGAATATAAACTGCAATTCTTTTCATTATGATCCTTTTGCAAATACTTATCACCAGCACTACAATATGAGATGATCAAATATCCCTTGAATTGGTGTTTCTTTGACTACACAAATTGTGATATGTAAATCAATAAATAGGCACTTATTAAGCACTTGCTATGTGCCGAGCACCATGCTGTATAGGCACTGGGAATATATAAAGAAAAAAAAAAAAACAGAGCAGCCTCTGCCCTTACGGGGGCTAATTTGGCTAGACCATAGAGTGAATGAAGAGGAGGAATAAGGCTAGGAACATAGTTTGGGGCCAGGTTGTGAGTAGGTCTAGATACCATGCCTAGACATTTGTATTTGGTCCTAGAGATAATAGAGAGCCACTAGAGTTTATTAAAGGGGGATGGAAGTAGGCAGAGCAGAGGGAGAGGTCTAAGTGTCCAACAGGCAGTTGGTGATGTGGGACCAGAGAGGGGCCAGATCTGGATACACAAGTCTGGGAGTCATCTGCATAGAAATGATAATTTCATAGGAACAGATGACATCACCAAGTGAGAGACCGTAGAGAAAGAGGCTGAGAACAAAAGCCTTAGGGCACAACCACTTTCAGGGGGTATGGTGGTGGTGATTGTTGCTGTTATTTGTCCTTGTCCTTCTTCTCAAAGAGAACCAATGACATCAGGAGGGTGAGGTCTTGACTTACAAGTGAATTGGATTTAAGTGAAGCAGAGCTGTTGCAAAGTCATCAGTCTCACTCTCTCCTCCAGAGTCACTGGAGTCCAATGGCAAGACATAAGACAACTGGTGATGGCCCTGAGGAGGTGGTGGTGGCGATGATGATCAAGCAAAAGGGATTGAGAAAGATCGATCAGACAGGAGAGAATGTAGAGAAAAGGCTAACATACAGAAGGAGGAAACATAAAAAAATATTACTATGCCTTAAGATGATACCGTGAACATTCCGAGAAGTATGGGAAGATTTATTTGAACTGCTGCAGTATTCTGAACCAGGAAAACAATATATCCACAACAGTGTAAATTCAAATAACAAAAACAAACTTAATACAAGGAAACTTCAATGACCAAGCTTGACCCACGAAAATAGCTAAGAAAATGCATCTTCTTCCATTCCTTGTGTATCTAGTGGCAGCCTATGGTTGTAGAATATTGCACATAGTCAGGCGTGGTTGATGTGTTGGTTTTGTTGAGAACAACTTTTTTCTTTTTTTAGGCTTTGTCATAAAGGGATAGCTTCATAGGTAGGGATTTTAAGATCAATATTTTGGAATCAAAGGGGATGTAAAAATAGGATGAAATTTTAAAAAAGAAATACTGTTTCTTGTTGATTTGGGATACACAATAAAACCAACTCTGTAGACTCCTTCATTTGTCTCTCTAAGAACCTGTGAGTTATCCTTGCTCTCTGTACTCCACTTGGACCATCATCTGCACTCCCTCCACACAGAAAACTGGATTCTGTCCCTGCACCACCTTGGGTTTTGAAATGCTTTGGCTTTAAACTACTTGGATCTAGATGTCCACAGCAGTTCCCAGACATCTCCAGCTATCCTACATGTACTGTCTCCTCTTTCCTACTCCCCTTGATATATTGCCTTCTCCTGTTAGAATAAAAGCACTTGGAAGGCATGGACTGCCTTGCCTGCTTTTATTTTTATTCTCAGCACTTGGCACAATGCCTGCCGCATAGCAAGTGCTTAATAAATTTTATATGTACATAAATATATACATATACAAACACGTATATATGTGTATATACATATGGGAGTATATGTACATACATATGGCACATAAGTACTTAACATATTTTATATGTATATAAATATATACACATATATACATATACATACATGTACATATAGGCGTATTGTATATACATAGATATTTAACCACAACTTCATTTTATCTTCTGGTTTTATTTTGTTTTCTGGTTTCAAGAATGTCAGATACGATTCACTCAGCTATCAGACAGGGATCTCAAATTAAAACAGTCACTCCCACTAATGCTTATAGATAGACTGAACCTGCATTCGGCTTGGACCTCATAGGACTGAGAGCCACTTTGTATTTTTCTTTGTTACATGGTTTGTCATAACCAAAAATTCATCACCAAGTGGCTACCCTGCTGATAATAAATCTCTTTGTACTGAGCTAGGCCAGCCCTCAGAAAGCAGTCTGTAATGGGACTTAAAACGTTGTAAAACCTGCTAAAGGTTGTACTTGATTGGCCTTCAAAAGCCTGGGGCACCTCCATTACACAAGGCTTCAGAGTAGTGTAGAGTGCCCCAAAGTCAGCCTCCTTTCTCCCAAACCTGATGTTTATTATTTTTACTTTTTACAGCTCCTTGAATACTAAGGTAATAATCCATCCTATCTCAGCCACCTGTGGCCTTAGATAAATAATTTAATCTTTCCAGGTCTCCATTTCCTCATCTATAAAAGAGAGGGGGTTGGACTAGGTGACTTCTGAGGTCCATTCCAGCTTCAAATCTATGATCCTATAATTTGAGGGAAAGCTTATGTAGAAGAGATAATAACTGGAAAAGGTCCCTCATAAAAACAAAGTAGCTATCTGTTCTAGGAAGTTGTCGAGAGGTTGTCAACAAAGAAAAGAAAAAGGCAGAGCTAGCTCCCAAGTCATGCCTGACTCTTCCTGCTTGAGTGGACACCTCTCAGTTCATTTCTCCCATAAAGGGATTATCTTTTTGCCCTCTCATTTGTATGTGATGGCAACATCTCCAAAGTGCAGCCAGCATGATATTTCTGCATATGGCCAGCGTATTTGAGCAGTACACAGTCTAAACCGGTGTTTCGACAGGCACGAGGGCAGTTTGATCTTGGTTGACTTTGTCTCTGAAAAAAAGTGAAACAAAGTATAGGCAACAGAGCTGCTGGCTTGTCCTGTTTCTGTTCCCAGGGCTGGTTCAGGGGTCCCCTAGGATATCTTTTTACCCCAGTGCTTCCAGTCCTGGTGGCCATTCACAGCCCCTTGCTGCCCCCGGGTGACATAGAATGTACCTCATGGCTACCCCGATTGCTGCTGTGCTGCTGCCCAGCTCCCACCCCAGTGTTTGCAGACCTCTCTATCTTTCTAAGCTGCCCTAGGCAGGAAAAATGACTCGCCGCAAATTTTTCTTGGCTTTTCCAATCGGTATTTGGTATAGTGCATTTTTTTAAGTTGTTGTGGAGGAGGTGTGCTGGGTAAGGTGGCAAAAATGCTGACCCTGTCTCACTAGGGCATTTTTACCCTACTGCCCTTAGAACAAAGTATAAAGATTATATAAAACAAACTGGTTACAATATCTGCTCTCATGGTGGTCTCCAATAGACTCACTCTGTTCACCTGCTCTCAGATGGCCTTATGTTCTATATGTGGGCAGAGCAGGGAACCTCCTTCCTGCATGGGGGAACCCAACCCCTAATTTACCCCATTAGAGGAGAGGCCTACCTACCATGCTGCCTAAAATCCCCGCCATTATAGTCACTCCTCTAGGTTAGAGTAAAGGTCTTAACCTGGGGTCCACAGATTTCAAGGAAGAAAGGGACTCTGAACTTGGAAGTTGTATTATTTTAACAACTGCATTCCAATATAATTGGCTTTCTTTGTAAACCTATATTATGTTATTATGTATTTAAAAACATTATTCTAAGAAGGCATCCACAGGATTCAATGGACTGCCAAAGAGTCCGTGACACAAAAATGGTTACAAATCTCTGGCATTTTCCCCCCAGAAGATTTCTATTTAAATATAGAGTGAAGGAAGGCGTGGGGAAATTATTTCACCAAATTATTAGAATCCACCAATGTATCAGCACCAGATTCATTCCTGAGTTCCCTTGTCAGGTGCCCTAAAAGACCTGGATACAAAGTAGCTGTTTTTATGGATGAGAAATAACAGGGAGCACATGTCACATCCCAGCCCCTGAAGGAGAATGGGGCTAACTGTGATTCAGGACAATCCACAGGGCCCCAGGGAAAAAGCCTCCTAGGAAAAAGCTATGTGATCAGAGTGACCAAAGCCTGTGCAGATCTAGCCAGAGTTCATGGGAAGGTCGAATCCAAAGACGGAACTGGGAGTTAGCAGAGTGTATCAGGGTAAACTGTACAAAGGGAATGGTAAGTTTGTGTGCAAAATGCTAGTTTATCCTTGGGGATCATTTTCCTAGAAATTCAAGGCATTGTGTGGTAGAAAGCATTGTTAAAAAACCTCTACTAACTCTAGGGGATGCACATTATGTACTGACTCCCATGTCCTCTCCTTCAGCCTATAACGCTGGGTATCTCAAGCCCCCTGTTCTCCATGAGTTTATTTTTTGTTTGTTTTCTGAGGCAACTAGGGTTAAGTGACTTGCCCAGCTAGTAAGTTTCAAGTGTCAGAGGCCACATTTGAACTCAGGTCCTCCTGACTCCAAGGCCAGAGCTCTATTTACTGTACCACCTAACTGTCCCTCTACATGAGTTTTTAGACCCCATCACTAGGCATTTAACAACCTAAATATCCTACCCCCTGTTCCCTCGTGTTCTGCCCTTCCTTGTCACAGGACCCCAATCAATTTGATACTTCCCAGAACTATGGCCACCAATTCCACCTACTGTGATTCAGAGCCATCACATGTCTAGGCAAAATAGCCTGTTACTACTTTTATTAATTCCCCTGCATAAAAATCTTTTGCCTCTGGGAGAAAAGTCAGACTTCTGGCCTGGCCCTCTGCAACATGGTTCCAACCTACTTTTTTAGATTTATTTACTATTATTCCCCTTATATACTCTGTGTGCCAACCAAACTGTCCCCCCCTGAAATCAATCTTCAGTCTTCAGTCTGGGTGACACTGTCTGTCCTTGTCAGAAGGCACTCTCCAGCTCAGGTACCACACAGCCTTTCCTGATTCCCTACCTTCACTCTGCCCCTCCCCTCAATTGTAAGTGTGCTCTCTCCCTCCTCAAATTACCTTGCAATTGTCTATTTGTGTATATATTATACCCCCTTGGTCACGTGTAATCTCCTGCAGTGATGAGATTATCTTATTTTTGTCTTCTTGTCCCCAGCACACAGACTACTATTAGTAAATGTTTATGGAATTTAATTGGCATAAAATTAATTTAAGCTTCATTAACGCAGCATCTATAAACTTTTTAGCTTGGCTTAAAACTGCACTAAGACTTGGGACACACTGTATAGATGAAAGTGTAGATAGACCCCACAAACTGGTTGGGTAACTCTATGTCATGTTTCTGACAGGCCCATGTAGCCTGCACCTGGGGAGATGTGGCAGAGGTGGAGTATTGTCCACTGAGTCTCATCTCACCAGGGGATTACACAGAAGTAGGAGCAAAAGTACTGAAGTCCACCAGAAACTGACCCTCCTTCTTCACATTTATAACAGCATAGGTAGTAATTAACAGAGCTTAGATAGCCAATACTGGCAGGTACCTAGTAGGTTTGGTCACAGAGGAATTTTAGAAAAGTTTTAAACTACAGGAGTCTGTCAAGGTGCCAAAAACTGCCTTGAGTTCCTGGTTTGTTTTTGGGGGGTTTTTTTGGTCATAGATTACTTTTTGAGTTTGGTGAAATGTAAGGACCCCTTCTCAAAATATACTGTTTTTAAAGGCATAAAATAAGATACACAGGATTACAAAGCAAACCAATTCCACTGAAATAGTTATATATATTTGTATTTATGTATTTCTATTATATACAAAATATATTCTATATGGATATATTATATAATATATATAATTTGTATATGTATATATGTGTATTTTTTTAAAGTTCATGGACCCCCGGTTAAGACCCCCTGCCCTTGAGGAATCTATTCACTTTATTATTATTAAAAATAATAATAGCTAGCATTTATTTAGTGATTTAAAGTTTGCAAAGTGCTTCACAGATGTTATCTTACTGGATCCTCACATCAACCTCATGAGGCTGGTGCTGTTATTATTCCTATTCCCTTGCCCGATGTCAGACAGCTAATTTGTGAGTGTTTGAGGCTGTATCTTAACTCACATCTTCCTGACTCCAAGTCTAGGGCTCTATCCACAATGCCAATAAGGGGAATATTTGCCACAAAGTGGGGATTGGCCCTGTCAGAATCCTGTCCTGCCAAGAAAGATGTGACAAAGGGCACTATGGAATAAGCTGTAGAGAGGATTTGGAAGTACGAGGAACCAGAAATCCCATGACTTTCTGTCCACCCAGTAGAAGAATCTGGGGACTCGCTTCTGCCAACTGGGAGGGCAGATGACTCCGCCCACTTATGGAGCCATTTACTGCACGCCTGCAAATGCTTCCCAGAATGTGGTCAGCTCCTTGGAAATCAGTGTTAGCTTCTGCTGCACCACTGTAGTCTCTGTGACCCCCAACTGG